ATTTTTGTTTTACCAGATAATCAACCAGGTTGGATTTAGGTAGCAAGTTCTGACCGGCCTTTCTGTGGGTTGTGGTTTCAAAGCCAGTTCCATTCTCAAAACCTATTCAGGTGTGCCTTCTGAGTGTGTCACCAGGCGTCCAGTCTGGGACTCAGGCCATGGTCTGTTCCTTAGCTCAGTTCTCAAAGTCTTTGTTATGCTGTTTAGAATCAGATGCACGCATGCTCAGCTCAGGGGGTTAGCCTGTAAGTTCATAAACAACTTCACGGAGTCGCTTTCCTGAGATCCTCCCTCTGTTTTCTCTTGTACTTTCCAGTTCATTGGGCTTTCCCTTCTTGGTCTTCTTGCCCAGAAAGCTGGGGTTTTAGTTACCATAGTTTGCCACCTGTTTCCCGACCTATGCCCAAATCTGGGGCCAAGCAGCAAGAAGGCGGAGAGAACAAAGCAACCAGATTTCATGTCACCCTCTTGGGATTACGACTCCTTCAATCAGAGAGGAAGGTTTTCCTTCCTCAGTTTTCAGTGCTTGAAAGCCCCAGCGCTGTCATTGGCACTGCCACCACTGCCGTGGGGCTGCCTGAGCACTAGGGCCTGAGAGGACAAAGGAAACACAACCCTTTTGATTTCCCGTTTGAGCCGTAGAATCATAACGAGAGTTCTTCTGGAATTCTCTCTGTGCCCTGGTGTACACTGCTAGACTTTGGGCTGTCTCATGTCCACTTCGTGGGATACCAGAAGAAAAATGAGAAATTCACTGGTTGCTGTGTTAGTGCTTTTAATTCTAGTCTTTCCCCAAAATCTATGTGCTACTATTTATATTTTAGTCTTCAAATAGCTGCTAAACATTTATGTTCAGGCCTTTAGCTGCATTCAATGTCAGAGGTAGATTCTTATTTACGTACCTTGTCTGTATACCCTGGTATGTATATAATCATCCATTTATGCAGAGAACATACCGAGGGGAGTAACTGCCAGGTTATGAGGTGTATTTAAATTTAGCTAGTCTTTTCCAAAGTGGTTGTAGCCAATTTATCCTCTGACCCGGAGAAACTCAGAGTTTCCACTGTACCACACTCTCACCAACACTGGAACATTAGGCTTTTCAAGTTTTGCTGTTTTGGTAGAAGTGTTGTGATATCTCACTGTAATTCTAATATGCACTCCCCTACATGTTAATTCAACCAAACACCTTCTCATAGGTTTATTGGCCATTTGGATTTCCTCTTTTGTGAAGTAAGTACTTAGTTTTTTATCTGTTTCTATACTATTGTTTCTTTATTCCTATTGATTTTGTAGTTCTTTCTTAGCCCTGGCACAAGACTTTTGTTGGTTGTGTTGTGAATATTGTTTTGCACTCTTTATTGTCTTTTTACTCTTTTTTAAAATATATATTTTATTGATTATGCCATTACAGTTGTTCTATTCCCCCCTTCATTCCCCTACACCCTGCACACTCCCTCCTCCACCATTCCCCCCTTTAGTTTATGACCACGTGTCTCAAGTTCTTTAGATTCTATATTTCCCATACTATTCTTGCCCTCCCCCCTATCTATTTTCTTTTTTTTTCTTTATTTTTTTGAATTGATTATGCTGTTACAGTTGTTCTATTCCCCCCTTCATTCCCCTCCACCCTGCCCCCCAACCCCACCATTACCCCCCTTTAGTTTATGTCCATGTGTCTCAAGTCCTTTAGGTTCTATATTTCTCATACTATTCTTGCCCCCCACCATCTATTTTCTATCTACTGTCTATGCTACTTGTTTTCTGTACCTTCTCCCCCCATCTCCTCCTCCCACTCCCCTGTTGCTAACCCTCCTTGAGATCTTCATTTCTATGTTTCCACTCCTGATCTAGCTGTCCTTTTAGTTTGCTAAGGGGTTTCGCCCCTTACCGGTCGGGCTGAAGAATTTGTTGTTAGCGGACTTCCGAAAAGTTCAGTTTTCCGTGTTCTGGTTGTGTTTTCTGATGCTAATATTTAGTTGTCCCTAAACTTGGTTGTGTGAGGAGGCACGGCACATCCACCTAAACCTCCATCTTGGCGGAAGTCCCCCCCTATCTATTTTCTACCTACCGTCTATGCTACTTATTCTATGTACCTTCTCCCCGCTTCTCCTTCTCCCACTCCTCTGTTGCTAAACCTCCATGTGATCTTCATTTCTATGGTTCTGCTCCTGATCTAGCTGTCCTCTTAGTTTGTTTTTGTTTTAGGTACAGTTCTTAATAACTGTGAGTTTGCTGTCCTTTCACTGTTTATCTTTTTTATCTTCTTTTTCTTAGGTAAGTCCCTTTAACATTTCATATAATAAGGGCTTGGTGATAATGAACTCCTTTAACTTGACCTTGTCTGGGAAGCACTCATCTGCCCTTCCATTCTAAATGAAAGCTTTGCTGGATAGAGCAATCTTGGGTGTAGGTTTTGAATTTCATGAGTTGGAATACTTCTTTCCAGCCCCTTCCTGCCTATAAGGTCTCTTTTGAGAAATCAGCTGACAGTCTGATGGGAACTCCTTTGTAGGTGACTGTCCCCTTATGTCTTGCTGCTTCTAGGATTCTCTCCTTCATTTTAATCTTGGCTAATGTAATGATGATGTGCCTTGGTGTGTTCCTTCTTGGGTCCAACTTCTTTGGGACTCTCTTGAGCTTCCTGGATTTCCTGGAAGTCTATTTCCTTTGCCAGATTGGGGAAGTTCTCCTTTATTATTTGTTCAAATAAGTTTTCCACTCGTGGCTGTTCCTCCTCCCCTTCTGGTACCCCTATAATTGGGATGTTGGAACGGTTAAAGATGTCCTGGAGGTTCCTAAGCCTCTCCTCCTCTTTTTGAATTCTTGTTTCTTCATCCTTTTCTGTTTGGTCAATTTTTTCCTCCTCCTGGTCCACTCCTTTGATTGGAGTCCCAGTTTCCTTTCCATTACTACTGGTTTCCTGTGCGTTTCCCTTCATTTCAATTAGTTTAGCCTTCATATGTTCCTCTAATTTGTAACTAAAATCAACCAGTTCTGTGAGGATCCTGATCACCAGTGTTTTGAACCGTGCATCTGATAGGTTGGCTATTTCTTAGTTGCTTAGATTTATGGGCTCTGGGGCTCTGAGTTGTGCTTGAGCCATGTTTTAATCTGTTCGTGCCTCTTACATATGAGGAGTGGAGCCTTAGGTGTTCACCAGGGCGGGGCCACCCAGGTCACTGGTTTGTGATGCTGTACGTGGGGGCGGGGTCAGAGAGGGACAATGGTGGTCCCCTCTGCCGATTCCTGCCGCGGAGGCCTGCGTGGTCCATTTCACTGCTCACTCCTTCACCAGTTTATCTGCATGCGAATGTGTGACTGCAGTCAGCCCTCAGTGGGTCCGCCCGCTACTCCACACCTGGGATCCGCCCATGGCTGCTGGCGCACCTGGGTCATGCGCCCGGATTGGTCACGTGGATCTTTCCTGCCCAACCCTGCTCTGCTGCTAGCTCTGCCCCTCTTACTGGTTTGGCTGAAGGGTTCGTTATTGTCAGACTTCCGTATAGTTCAATTTTCTTTAGTTTGGCTGTGTTTTTGTTTCTAAAACTTTGTGGTTTTTAAACTTGGTTGTGCGAGAAGGCACAGTGCTTCCACCTATGCCTCCATCTTGGCAGAAGTCCTGTCTTTTCACTCTTAATGGTGTCTTTCAATTAACAGAAGTTCTTAACTTTAATCAAATGTAATCAAACTGATTAGTCTTTTCCTACAGAAATAAAAACTCTCTGTCCACTCTGCTTTAAAGTGACCGCCTCTGTCTTAGCATTTTGGTGGAGGACACTGCACGCAGTTAGGAGACAGCAGAATGGCAAAGGACGGAGTACAGGCTCCAGAGCCGGACAGAGGTTGATGGCCCTGGACAGATTATTTATTCCACCTGCTGAACATGAGTTTCTTTATCTGTAAATAGGAATATAGTGTCTACCTTGTGAGATATGTGCAATGCACTTAGTACAGCATTGGTACACAGTAGGTCCTCAGTAAACAGGGGTAGCTATGATGATATTCTCTGAATATTATTCTCTTGTCCACACAGCCACAACTACCTGAACCTCACAGCTGCTTTGTGAAATACCCGCCTATTGCATTCAAGGGTTGACTGTCCTCATCAGGCCAGCAAAGTCTCTCTATTATTCATAAGCAGCACCCACCACTATCTGCAACTAAAAATACAGAATTAATGCACAGAAATGCTCTTCTCATAAAGTTATATCATTTAGGGCCTCCCACACGGATACAATGGCAGCAGGCTGAAGAATCAAAGTAACCCCTTTCTGCTCACTGCCAACAGCACAGTCATGTGGAGCAGGTAGACTCCTTCAGACATGAGAAAGCCAAGCCCAAACGAGCCTGGGTGATTCTGTGTGACAGGCGCAGCTGTGCCAGGCTGTGCATCCTACACTGTAGACACAGGGAGAATGGGAGTGTGCCGGCCTGCATGAATTTTGGGATGAGTGCACAGTAAAGTGCACCTCCTGGAGGTTGTATGTTTAAGTGTACAGGGTGTACATGTAAACGTGTGATGAGGTTGTACAGGGTTGTGAGGTTGAGTGTACAGGGTGTACATGTAAACATGCGATATGTCCTTGGGAACCTGCCATGCTCTCACCAGCCTGGCATTGTGCTGAAAGCCCTGATGCTTGTCTTCTCCAGCGCAGCCGGAGCTTGGCGTCTCTCAATGCCCTCTGCCCTGCTCTCTGTGACAGAAAACGTACACTTGTATACAAGCCTGGACCACTCTGAATGAGGAAAAAGCATCTCCTGAAAACACTTCAGTGCACACTTCTAAAGCAACTGGCAGAGTCTTCTGGGTGTGGTATCCCACTGCTGCTTCCTAGACCTTGAGTCCCTAGAAAGGCTTCTTGAGGCTTTCCCACAATTCTGAGATATTCCATTGCCCACCCCCCCCAGATCACCCCCACCCCCATCTTATTAGACTCCATTTCAAATGTGGCCAATGTTGAGTACTGAAAGGATGATAGAGAGGGAGAGACTGGTACCTGAGCCTAGAGTTTGTCCATCGGAGTCAAAGGATAGAACCACTGAATCTGCAACACAAGAGGACAAGTTCATTTCTTTCTCCTTCTTAACAGTGAAAAACCAAGCTCCCACTGGCTCTGCCCAAACCCTCCCCAAGGGAAAGCCACCTGCAATGGAATCTGGCTGCACAGACAGCCTGCGCAGGTCTGCACCCACCATCCTCTGGGCCGGGAGGCCCTGGGAGCCCAGCCCCCCAGCCTCCTGCCACAGGGAGGACCACCTCCGGGAAGAGGGGCCTCAAGTTTTTCAAAGGCATTTTCTGCCAGATTAGGGGACAAGTTTACTTCTTTTTCCTCCTCATAGTAAAAACAAAAATTTTAAAAAGCAAATGGAAAATCCCTCTTGCATCTAGTTAAAGACACTAACATTTCCCTGTGACTTCTTCCTTTCTTTTCTTAGCCATATACCCAATAGTTTATTATTTCTCCCCACCAAAAGGCTTAGAGTGGCCTATAGAAATTTATAATACACAATGGAATAAAAAATGAAAAAGCCAAAGAAAGAAAAAATATTATGTAGTCGGGAAATGTTAGTGTACAAAATGCATGCCATGAGGACCTACACAAACGCTGTAGCTACAATGAAGAGGCCTGAGAGTCCAAACAGCCAAAGGAGAAAAGGAAGTTACAAGATTCGGTGCCCACATTGATTCAATCATTTGTTCATTCAACTGTTCAGTAAATATTTATTGGGCATCTACTATGTGCAAGACACTACACTTTGAAAAGTAGCAGTGAATAAAAGCATGGTCTCTACCCTCATGGATCTACCTGCTACCAGTCTAGGAAAGAGAAAAAGTTACCGAACAACATAATATTTAAATAAAAACTAATTCAGTAAAAAAGAAAAGAGTGCTGTGAACATTTCTATTAGGAACCAGACTAGTTTGGAAGGGGAGTGGGTGTTGGTTAGGAAAGGCTTCCCTAAAGAAGTGCCCTTGAACTAATAGCTGAGGGAAAAGTAAAGGTCAAACTAACAAGAATGGAATGGGGCACTCCAGGCTGAGTCCTTGTGGAGAACTAGAGCAAGATGCCACAGGGTGCTCCAGGGCAACTCACAGACCAAAACACAGAAGCGAATATTCTAGAGTGACCGGAAAGAAATTTCTCTTCTGGGTTTCTATAAAGCGTGATGAAGCTGTTGTTAAAGACTATATCTTCCACAACATTTCTATAGTAATTAATTGCAAAGCTTGTATGGCTGTTTCTTATAACATGACCAGTGCAAATGATGGCAGAAAGCTGGTGTACAGTTCTGTGAAAGCAACTGTAAAGGACACCAAGATAATTTAAAGCCTAGGATAACCTCAGAGACCCCAGACTCCAAAGGATCACATTCAAACGCTCACTCATTACAGATGAATGCCAGCTGGATGGTTGTAAGACCAGTGTCTACAGCCTCTCCTCCACCCCAGCATTATTCTTCAGCTCTCAATTTGTATGTCATCTCTCTTAGTGTGTGTGGCAATTCAACACAATAGTTGCCATAACTAAGTATCTGTCCCCACTGCTAGACTATAAGCCCCATAAAGGCATAGCCCATATCCGCTCTATTCACTACCATATTACTGGCATAAGATCCGACACCCAATAACTACTTGGTGAATAACAATTCTAGACAAACGAGTGGGCCACATACCCTTCAAGCAATCTTTCACACGTACAGGGTCCAGCAGAAGTGAGGCCTGCTTGAGTGTGGTTGGTAGGATAATAATATGGGTATAATAATTTATCGTTTTAATTTGAACATTTCACCTAAAGTGTCATATGGTATGCTTGAATGTGATATTGTTATGTTACAGGATTACATGCTTATAATTTTTTAATAAAAGAGGAACATGATCTGTGCTGGACCCTGTATTTTTTCCTCATAACCAAGTGTTTACAAAGCACTGGGTGGCAGAGAAGATACGGTTTTGTGTAAGAATCTAGAGGCAGATATTTTGTATTGCTAGTTAAGGGCAGATTCATATGCTTTGAAACCTACCAAGTAAAAGGTAGGGTTGCCAACTTTTTGCAAAAATGTAAATGGGAGCACAATTAGTACAGTTGGCTAAACAAACAGGTGACCATGATGTGAGAGACAATCAATGTCGAGCTGTTAAAATTCTACTTCTTTGTCACCGTTTCTCACATCTGTCTCCTCTTAATGCTACTGCCCTTTCAGAAAAGAAGTCCCTGTTTCTCTCTGTTTCTTTCCAAGTTTTTTAAATTAAATTTATTGGGGTGACATTGGTTGAAAAAATTATATAGATTTCAGGTGTATAATTCTATGACACAGCATCTGTATATTGTATTGTGAGTTCGCCACCCCAAGTCAAGTCTCCTTCCATCTCCATTCTCTCAGGATTTTATTGAGGTATTATCTACGGACTATAAAATCCACTCATTTAAATGTATGACTCAATGATTTTTAGAAACTTTACAGACCCATGTGACTATCACCACATGCAGTTTTAGAACATTTCCAGCACCCTAAAAAGATCCCTTGTGCCCATTTAGAACCACTCCCTGTCCCCAACTCCAGCTGCAGGTGACCACTGACCTACTTCCCATCTCTGCAAGGTTTGCCTTTTCTGGACACCTGCCTGTCCTTTTCTGCTCGGACTGTTCTGACAGCCTCCTAACCACACACCTGCCTTCAACTTAGCTCACTTCCATCATCCTTTATACTGCTACATGATCTTCCTAAGATGTACACCTGATTGTGGCTTTGCTCTTGATTAAAACGCTTCCCATAGCCTATTAAATAAAGTCCAAGTTCTGACATTCAAGGTTTTTACCACCTTCCCTCAGTTGCCACCTCTTAGACTTCATGTCCCAGATATGCCAAACTACTTCCATTTCCCCAAAGAGGTATGTGCCTCGTATCTTCAGACATCGGACATCCTGTTCTGCCTACTTGCATGAAAAAAACCCTCACTTTTCCATTACGACCCAACTCAGTCACCCCCCTTCTTTAAGCCTTCTTTGATCCATTCTGCCCATTCTCCGCTACAGGCCATCACTGCGCTGCTATATGGCATTATCATACTGCATTATACTCCTGTTCACCTTTCTTTTTTCTCTCATTAAACTGCGAGTTCCCTGAGGACAAGGATTGTCTATTCATTTTGAGGCTTTGATGCCTAGCTCAATGACCAGCACAAAGAACTAGTCAATAAGTTTAGTAAACAAAGGAATACACTAATAAGTCCTTGCTTTCTTTCAAAGTCCTTGAAAGCAGTCCTTGTTTTCTTTCAAAGGTGACGTTTTATCTGAGTGTTATTTCCCACGTTGGGGGAAAATGCATTATGCATCTAGATTCTCATTCAATTCAAGTCAACTTTGAACTGTCCTTGTGCTGGAAAGCTTCAGAGGTTCAGTGAAGCTTCTGGCCTCATTCTAAGAAGACAAAAGCAGTCCCACCAAGTCAGTGCAGGGAGGATGAGGAGACTGGCCAAGGAGCTTTCCAGGTGAGAGGTCACACTCACCTGAAGATCAGGAAAGGCTTTCTGAGGAGGTCACTGCCCACATTAACAATAAAAACAGCATCTCAACTTTTTATTGCAGTTGACAAGTATTTTTTCCAATTGCAATTCATCTTTGTATTCACAAGCAGCCCTGAAATAATTTCTTCAACTTTTCAAACTCAATATAAGAAAAAAGGCTAAGGATTAACTAAAAACCTAAAACTTACCAAAAAGTTAAAGAAAAAAGACTCAATGTTAACAGTGGTTGTCTGTGGGAGGTAGAATTACAGATAGTGTTTATTTTCTGTGTTTAAAAAAAATTTCTACAGTAAACATGTGTTACATTATCATTAAAAAGTTCTCACCCAAAGAAGAACTCTCTCACCCAGCTCTGGGACTGGTCCCTCTAACTCACTGGTACTGGTGCAGAAGGACGGGAGGTTCCTGCCTTTGCTGTTCAGCTTTTCTCCTTAATTACGGCGGTGTCCTTGCTTCATGCCACTTAGATGTGCCTCAGCTACAGCAATTCCTAAATAGACTGAGCTTTTCAAAAATTCCTCCCTCCTTCCCACAAATATTATCAAGTACCTATGATGAGCCAGATACAGGCATATCTCTGTCAACGTAAGAAACGTTCAAACCTGTAGAGAATTTTCCTAGTTTATCTGAGCCAAACTGATGACAATTTCTGGGAAGCAAAACCTCAATGACTGAGAAAATGCACTGCAGAATAGCAGGTCAGCACCTTATTTCATACATTACGATCAAAAGAGGGGGTGTGAAGGGGTTATATGAAAACAACTGGTGTTGGGTTAGGGAGGCAGGAGAAAGCAGAGTCGGGAAACCTTGGGGGCTGGATAAAATGTAAAATGACAGACACGTACTTCTTACACAAGTGGGCACAGGATAGTGAACAGTCAATAATGAACACGATGACAAGAACAAGGAGAGGATTTGTGGGCGTCTCCTGGGGCGGGCCTGTGCCTTGAGGGACCCGGAAAAAGGAAATTGGACATTCCAAAGGTATGTTATCATAGATGCAAAAAGGCCACAGACAGGCTCAGAGAAGGCAAAGATTAACCTTTGTTAGGGAAAAACACCGGACTAGAACATGACTACCCGCCATGAACTGCTTTCGGTTAGAAAGTTGTAATTTCACTTCTATGTGGTTACTTCAGGTCTTTGAGTTTATAAGGCTGCCACGCAGGCCTCCCCTGAGCTGGTCAAGCTTTGCATGTGGCCCCTTTTCTTCCACACCTCATTTTATTGTGCTTCACAGATTTTTTTTTTTTTTTTTTACAAACTGAAGGCAAGACTCTCCACCAGCAAGAAGACTACAACTTGCTTTATTGCGATACTCACTTTATTACAGTGGTGTGGAACTGACTCAATATCTCTGAGGTGTGCCTGTACTAGAGAAATGGAGCTAAATAAAAGATAGTTTTTGCCTTCCAGCCAAGGAAGACGGACAAGTTAATAGCCACTGAAAATAAAGTACAATGGGCATGTAAGGGGTAAGCACCAAAGAGACGACAGCTTTACAGGAAAGAAAAGTCA